ACATACAGAACAGCTAGAAATTCCTGGATGCTCAAATGCACAAAGCAGTACACCTTTGTCTGGTTCAGCCCACACTCCTCTCTGAAGATCTGTGTACACACTCCGGAGTACACTGACGCTTCTCCAACATCGATGCCATACTCACTCAGGTCTTCCTCGTAGAAGATCAGGTTGCCCTTTTCCAGCTGTTGAAAGGCTAGCTTCCCCAGTGCCAGAATGACCTTTTCATTTAATGGTGGTTCCATCTCTTGTTCGCTAGCGTACTTCAGATTCATCTGTGTGGTCTGAAACATCAGGAAGTGGGTGCACATTTGAGTCAGCGTTTTGTGCATCTTCCCACTCTCTGATTCAACTAAAAGTATCTCCAGAACAGAGGAGGAAATCCAACAGAATAATGGAATGTGGCACATGATGTAGAGGCTTCTTGACGACTTCATGTGTGTGATGATTCTTCTGGCCTGGTTTGGATCAGTCATTCTCTTGATGAAGTACTCATCCTTCTGTGGGTCATTGAACCCTTCGCACCCCTGTTACCTGGTCAACACAATCTGGAGGAATGCGATTGGCTGGTGCAGGTCGGGAGGTAATCCAGATGTGAGCATAGGGAAGCAGACTTCCCTGGATGAGGTTTGTCAACAGCACATCCACTGAGGTTGGCTTTGTGACATCACGCCAGGTCTTGCTCTCAAAATCTAAAGGAAGACGGCATTCATCCAAACCATCAAGGACAAACACAACATTGTACTTCTTGAAGTCTGAGATTCCAGATCCTTTGATCTCTACAAAAAAAGTGATGAAGAAGTTCCATCAAACTCCTTTCCTCCATAATATTCAGCTCCTGAAAAGGGAGTGAAAAGATGAGCTGGACATCCTGGTTTGCCTTTTCTTCCACTCAGTCCAGAATGAACTTCTGCACAGAGACCGGTTTTCCAATGCCAGCGATTTCCTTTGTCAGCACAGTTCTGACATCCTTGTCTTGTCCAGGTAATGGTTTGAAGATGTCATTGCATTTGATTGCCATCTTGTGTGTCTGGTCTCTGGCATGCTATCTCAATCTGTCTCACCTCATGTTCATTGTTGACTTCTCCACTTCCACCCTCTGTGATGTAGAGCTCTGAATAGATCTTATTGAGAAGTGTTGGGTTTCCTTGCTTAGCTATACCTTCAAACAAATACTCAGACCGCTTCATCAGATGAGATTTTAGGTTATGTTGGCACAAAGCAAGCTCTCCATAGTGACCTATCAATGCAGAAAGGTTTCATATGAAAATGTTAACATCATGCAGGAAGAGTGTAGTATATAAACAAGTTTAAGTGACTCCCTTATCAATATGTGAATCACGCTGTCATTCCTTTTTCATGCAGACAAACTTTGATAGTAAATTGGAAGTATTTCCACAACTTGGTTAAAAGTTATGGAGAAGAATCTGGGGCAAATATATGCTTTAAAAACTGGGGGAAAACAGCTTCAAGTGTGGAAACATATTTCTATACCATTCCAATAAACTGGAAATCTCTGATGACATCCAAAAACTCTTTGCAAACTGCAGAATACACAAATGAATCTTCCTACAACACTTTACTTCTAATATGCTGGTATTTCTCAGTGAATGAGAGAGTATAGGACTTCTCTCAACTCAGTGTAGACATAAAATCAATATTAAAATAGATAGCTCTTACTTTTCTCCAGTGTGTCAGCAAGCTCTTTCTGGTTCATGCTCTTCAGGACATGAATTCTGATCAAATACACAAGATGAACATCTCTGTGACCTCGATTAATTGAATACACGAATTGAGTCAGACCAGTTGACCAAGATGAATGAATTGCTTTCGCAAACTCGAGCGGGTCGAATAAAACCAGTCTTGTACAAAACTAGTCAGACAAAAACAGTTGAATCAAACAGATTGATCAAGCTGATCAAATGAGCAGCCTGAATGAGACAGATGAAACTTCCAACTTCACCAAAACGGAATTAATCACAGCCGCTCAAGCAAACCATTCACCCCCACAGGCTGAGCAGACCTACTCGATCTAACGCTTTCTCTATATATTGCAGCCCTTGCGGCTATTTCACTTCTGTTCACCTACTCAGGATGATCAGCGCTACTTCCAATTATTACATCACCTACTCAGGATGATCAAAACTACTTTTTCCTAGCGGCCTTCTCTAATTATTGCATCACCTCCACAGGATGAGCAGAACTCTTTTAAACTTATGTACAGCCTACCCGAGCAGCCTCTAACGATGCACTTCCTCAACACGTTAGAGCGGTAACCATAGGCAACCTATTCACACAGTCCCTCTGGAAGTAATAATAATAAGCCATTTAGCAGACGCTTTTATCCAAAGCGACTTACAGTCATGCGTGCATACATTTTTGTGTATGGGTGGTCCCGGGGATCGAACCCACTACCTTGGCGTTGCAAGCGCCGTGCTCTACCAGCTGAGCTACAGAGGACCACATAATTCTAACCTTAGCCGTCCAAAAGCTGTATTCATAGGCACCTGTCTATGCAGTCCTCTAGTGTTATATTTTCTTAATATACCTAGAGCGGTATTCACCGGATTTTGAACTTATATACAACGCCTATCCTTAGGACGTAATTAGCAAGCCACCTGCCCGTTCAGTCCTCTGGAGTGCTATCCTTAGCTTCTCCAAAGTGATAGCCACAGGATTTAAACTTATATACAACCATCAACAATATTCAACAATCAATAACATTGAATGCATGCTTATTTCTCATTCCAACAAAAACTCTACTTTTCCTAAATGTAGCCCTTAATACTGGAGAACCCCTGGTACCTGACCTTTAGAATCAACTGAGCAAATCACACAATTTATATGCTAAAAGTAAGAACGTAGCTTACCTCTGTTTACAGTGGCCACCGTATTTGTGTGATTCGTCCAGCCTCCTCCAGATGGCGCAGCACCCCTATGGTCTCTTTTTCCAGTCCCTTCGTGGTCGCCAATTATGTTGTAGAAAATTGTCCTTATACTTCTTAAAAAATCAAAGTACTTCCAGAGTTTTTGTAGAATTAAGATATACTTTATTACACAAGCAATAGAGCCGAGCTGGTCTGCAGAGTAACTAACTTCCCAACACTCAGTCCTCAGTTTATATACAGTTCTATTCCTGCTAATTTTACATACTATTTAGCTTAATCCCTCCCTATTTAGTTCCTCCACCATTGTTTCCAAATCTTCACCTTTTGACCACTCCACCCACTTTCTTAGTTTATGATAGTGGCGAAATCTGACTTCTCCTTCTACTTATTCAGTCTCCTCCTTCTATGTATTCAGTTTGGAAACAATAGTTGCGGGACCAAGCCCTGTCATGTAAAAAATAACAGAGCCATCTCCTGGCTCTGCTCTGTTTATTCTAAAACATATCAATCGATACTTAAACATGGTTTAGACATGGCAGGTCCATTTTCTGAGCATAATCAATTCTCAACCATACACAGTTCTCATGCATAGTGTATATTTCCCACACATAGTAAGAATGAGCAGGCCCTTTCCCAGGTCCATCTCTTGGCTCTGTTCCAGGCCTCCTCATTCTCTGTACCACTCTGTACCACACTCTGTATCACTTAGTCTTACTGCTTGTCTTTGTGATTAAGTATGTTTTAACTTTATAGTCTAAAAATATTTACTATGTTTAATATAAAGTCTACTGGAAAATATCCAATAAACATGCGACTCGGGTAAGTGTCAAGACAAACAGGTGCTTGTTGTGGTGGTACACTTGTGCTGCAGGTGCTAGGCTCTGGCTCATTTTGATCAGCAGGCAGCGTGGGGGATGGGCGGGTATTGCTGCTAGGCTCCTCAACCTTGGTGGTCTGTCTAGCAGAATGCTTGGTGAGCTCGGCATCGCTCTAGGCATGCTGATCAAAGCGTAGCCATTAACTAGCTATAATTATTCAGCACTACCAAAACTTAATGAAGCTGGTTACTAGCTAGCATAGAAGCTGTAGCTAGCTGTCTGCAAAAGTGACCAACTATTTTCCCTCTCTGTGAGAAGAAAACGGTCAAAAACAATGTAATGAAAGCGGTACCTTATGACATTGCATTGCTAGGTACCCAATCAGAATGTATTTCTTGATTTTAACTACTAAATATTACATAATTACATCCCCCCTCCCTCCCCCTCCTCAGATCATGAGTGCACAAGGTATAATAGCCTTGGACCCAGTGTGCACTACTGGCAGGCCTGGACGTGCTACATTGGCAAAACCGGGCAAGGTAATTAATAATAATAATCATAATAATAATTTGGGGGGGTACTTATATTTATCATGTTACACACAAGCGTATAATGAAAATGTGTTTTATTGCATATCACAACTCCCTCTGAGACACCCGCAGGGAGTGGGGTCACAGCCAGGGTCGCCATTGTAAAGCGCCCTGGGAGCAATTAGGGTTGAGTGACATGCTCAAGGCAACAGATATTTTTATTTTTATGGGGAAACAAAACTTGGGGGGGCACAAATTCTATCTGGAGGGGCCATGCCCAGCTTTGCCACCCCATAGCACCGGCACTGATTGTCCACAAAGCATAACCCTGCCATCCCCAACAAATACATGGTAAGATTACTTAAAAAGGACACCACAAATCAGTTATTAACAGAATATGCCCCTAACGTCAACAATAAACCTTAAATAAATAAAAAATAGATTTTAGAAAATGATGAACTCAAAATTGATAATTTGATTATTCTAGCTAGTAAATAGTTCCTGAAATACTCAACAGGGCCAGGTCCCCAGCAAGCAAAATTTGGCATGTGACTTCTATCTAAATTACAACAACAACAAAAAAATTGTTTAGAACATGCCATATAACTATACTATATAACTACCAATTGGTCTACCAACAAGTCATCATGGAGTACTATTTTATACATCCTTTTCTGGTTACTAAAAAGACGTGAACAAAACCTGACCATGACGTCAGAAAATCTATCATAATGACGTCATGGAAAGCAGTTTTGCCCACTGGGTCAGTACCAACAGACAGTCAGTGGGTTAGTATTGCGGCCCTCCATGTACGGCCCGGGGCAGAGGCATAAGGAACACGGGGAGATGAAGCTGCACCATGAGGAGTGGAGGAGAGCCATGCTGTCTGCATCATAGAAGGACACCCTCTCCCTGTCACAGTCTAGGTACAGCCCCACCCTACGAGGCCAGGACTGGGCCTCAGCCTGAGTACCTGGGTCAGCACCAGCAGCCATCAGGGGCGTCTCCACACCATCATGGCTGAACACCAGGCCCTTCTCAGGCTTCAGGTGCAACATTATCTCCCTCTCTGGAGACAGGACAGGCTCTTTGCCGGAATCTTCCTTCACCTTCAGCCCCACCCCCCAGTCCAGCTTCCCCCCCACCTCCACTTCCCAGTAGTGCTGCCCTGTCTGGACGGTCTCTGTGGAGACGACGGTGTTGGTGGCGACGGCGTAGTCACGGTAGTACTTGAAACCGAAGCCGCCCTTCCGGTCTGCGTGCCTGACACTGTGAGTAACTAGACTCTGTGAGACTCCTCCCACCTCTAGAAAGTGGTCAGACTCAGGTATCTCCAGAGCAGACTGCAGAGTCACTTCCATCTCCCTCCCAATCATCAGCCTGTTCTCGATCACACAATCATTCTTCAGCATGGCCGCCACAGCTTTCTTCTCCTCCCTCTCCAGCTCCTCCTTCACCTCCTCCTCCCGCCTCCTCAGGAACTGGTGCAGCTCCTCAAAGCAGGAGGAGATGTGAGCCGACAGGCTTTTAGACTTCTCCTGTGATGGGGGAGAAATGTTTGACTGTAGGACACACCATTTTCTTCAAGCTTTACTAAAGTCAAATTCACAGGTTAGTTAATGATTCAATAAAATAATACATACAATACAACTTTATTGTCCATTAGTTACAGCCAACAGAAATGTGTTTTCTGCTCCGTTCTCAACCCCCCCAAGACAGCACACATCACACATACAGTTGAGACGAGCACATGGTCAAGCTGCAGTGCAGCGCCCCTGGATGGAGAGCATGATGTAACGTTAAGGGCCTTGCTGAAGGGCACAACGGTAAGGGAATGTCTTGAGGATGTGAATCCAGCAGCCCTCCAGTTTCCAGATCAATTCAGTTAGTTTAGGTTAAGATGAAATCTATTAGCGTGGTTGATTGTTTGGTTGTTCATTTACATGTTCTATGCAGTGTTGCATGTTTTCTGTACACTGATATGTGTAGGTGTGTGTGTGTGTGTGTGTGTGGACGTGTTTAACTATTCTTGTGAGGACCAGAAGTCCCCACAAGAATAGTAAACAAACAACAATTTGACCAACTGGGGACATTTTGTTAGTCCCCACGAGGTCAAATGCTATTTCTAGGGGGTTTAGGGTTAAGGTTAGAATTAGTATTAGGATTAGAATTACGTTAAGGGTTAGGGTTAGGAGCTAGGGTTAGTTTTAGGGTTAGGGTTATGAGCTAGGGTTAGGTTTAGGGTTAGGGTTAAGGTTAGGTTTTTGGGTTAAGGTTAGGGTTAGGGTTCAGGTTAGGGTTAGGGTAAGAGTACGGGTTAGGGTTAGGGTTAGGGGTTAGGGAAAATATAATTTTGAATGGGACTGAATTGTATGTCCCCACAAGATTAGCTGTACAAGACTGTGTGTGTGTGTGTGTGTGTGTGTGTGTGTGTGTGTGAGTGAGAGAGAGAGAGACGCCCTCACCTGGGTCTTGATCATCTCAAAGGCATGCTGTTGGTTCAGTCCTCCCATTTCACGGTTCTCCTTCACCAGGAACCCAAGAGCTCCCTTCAGAACATTCTAACAACACAGAGAGCAGGATTCAATAGGCGGGAAAAATATTTTAGTGGCCCCCTCTTGACGGCGGAGAGAAAAATGTAAGTTTTGAAGTTCATTTCCTGCAATTCTACACACTTTCCCATGGAGTGTAGAGAAAATGTTCCAGTTTTAAAGCATTTTGCCATGGGGCAGAGATACATTTTTGCAGCTTTAAAGCTTATTTCCTGCAATTCTACACATTTTACCATGACTTATGCCGTGAGAGTGACTAACAAAATCAATGGAGGCACCCTGGATGTCAGGACCCCTGGGCATGTGCCCTGTGTGCCCGGTCAGTATTTGTCCATGATTACTACAAGTTTAGATAACTGGCTAGACTAACTTACCAATGAGTGACTGTCAATGACTGACAAAACAAGATACAAACTGCTGATGCTCAACCACATTTCGAACTTACACCTTGTGTATTCTACTATTCGAACTCTCAACAGTAAGTTGATATCTCGAATGAGTTCCTAAAAAAATTAAACTATAATAATCATTATAATTATAATCATTATAATAATTTTGGGGTAGGGATGAAAATGTCTGTCAATTTTGCTGCCGACTAACTGACCCTCATTAACCAGTCAACAAACGGTTACATTTTTTCCAACCAGAAAATAACATGACAAACAGAAAATACTATTAGAGATCTATATATAATGACGAGATGCTTATGTTTCCGCCCTAACAATGGGAGTGGTCCCAAGGCGGGAAGGCAGGCGTCAAATTTAGGCCAAAATACGATCATAGAAACGCATTGGACTTATTTTGGACAGATTTAGGCGAGAGTGAAACCTCTCGCTTTGCCTCTTCCTCTCTGATACTACATTTTTCATTAAGAGCTTAATGGAAACATGCAACGATAGCAAGCCTATCGTCTTACAGTCAAAAGGCAATAGCCTATTATTGAACATGCAACTCCTGTAATGAAGCAGCTAATTAAACGTCATTTTCAAACATTTGCCAAAATGCAATTAGCGGAAAACACAGTTCTAAACAGCGCACCTAATGCAAGCAGTTCCATATGTGACTGAGATGAAAATCTCCATTAGAAACTTAGAAAGAGGGGGAATCTAATAGCAACTACTGTGATGGGTTGCTAATATGACTAGGATTGTGGCTTTGGCTTCTGCACGACGAAAGAAAGTTGATATGAAAACCAATAGAACAGGAGAGAAATGCTGGTTAATGGCGTGAGAAAGCCTTTATAAAATAATTGCCACCACGTTTCTAGGGATGGATTTTCGCAAGGCTACTTTGAAGCAAGGTAAAATATGCCTCATTATTTGAAGTAAAGTAAAACGTTCAGGTTTCAAACAATTATAATGCCTCAAGCCCACATTGCAAAGTGGTGGGTGACGCGCTGATTGTTAACGGTAGGCAGGCTATATCCTATGCATCCAAATGGCGAATGGGAGGCGCTCTTTACGAGTTGAGATTGAGAAATAAAAATAGCTCCTTTTGAATCGTGAGAAATAAAAATAGCTCCTTTTGAATCATGGCCACAAGTTTTTAACATGCGATTGCATTTAGAATTGTTATTTGTTATGCAATGACTGGGCTTACAAAAGCAGGTTTCACTCCTTGGTATAAGGCTCTCTGTATGCTGGGATAAATGTGATAAATAAAATGCATGAGGACTAACGAAAATACACACGCACCAATTTAATTCCACAAAATTATGCAAATTAATCAATAGACCGATAAGCATGACCGGTCAAATGTATTTTCGGTGGCTAACCAATTAACCGTTAACATCCCTAGTCAGGGGCCCCCTAGCAGCCGGGGACCCTAAGTGACTGCTTATGTAGTTTATGCCTTTACCCGGCTCTGGTGTGTTGTCTACAATGCACCATCTTTGACATTTAAAGGTAATTTCCGCTTGAGCAGACATCAGCAGCGTTTACTGTGAATGCGATCTCTGTAGACGTCTGAATAATTCTTTTTAAAAGGTGCATTGTCGGAATGCAATGCGCTTGTCTACAAAGCAATGTGCCTCTGATTGAATCCAGGCCAGAGAGCCAACAGAGCTCTAGAACAGACACATACCACAACACTCCTTGTGACAGAAAGAATGCATGGCATGGGTTTAACGGTGTATACAGATTTACGGATGATATTTATGACAGAGAGAGAGCGAGAGAGCGCAAGATTGAAAGAGAGAGATTAAAGAGAGAGATTAAAAAGAGATTAAGAGAGAAAGAGACGTTGCAGGTTTTATCCAGTTACTGTTGTGTAGAACCTTGAAACACAGATTGAGGAAATTCAACATATATAGACTTGGAAACCTACAGGCAAGAAAAGTTATATAATAAACACCTCTTACCATTTAAGAGGTTCACACAGCAGTATAAATACAATTATGAGGTTTAAAAAAAACTGTGCTGGCCATAGACCTACACACCTTACTGATCTTTGCCGCCTCTTTCACGGGTGTGAACGTGTGTCCCCGGTGCTTTTCTCCATCCCTGCAGATCACACACACCAGCCTCTGGTCTGTCTCACAGAACAACTTGAACTTCTCTTCGTGCTCCAGACACACCAGTTCTGCGGCTACAGTGCGTCCCTGCGTTGCCTTTGGTCCCCTCGCTGCAAGGCCGCTCTCCTCCTCCTCTCGGGCCGCATCCGCCATATTGGTCAAGACACGGTGAGCCCGGAGATCCTTCAGGCTGAAGGGGCCCCTGCACTCTGGGCAGCGGCTCTGGCTCTTCGCTGAGTTCCACCGCAGGTGAAAGCTGATGCAGGGGCGGCAGAAGGTGTGGTCGCACGGCAGACTCACTGGGTCGGTGAAAACGCACAAACACACTGGGCACTGGAGCTGCACGGACAGGACTGATGTCATATATATATTGAAGTTCTCTTTTTCTTTCTTTGAAAACCTAACTTTCTTGATCCTTGGTGTTCAACAGGTGAAGAAAGACATTAAAGTTTCACTTCTGATTCCCTTTGTTCAGAGTTCATACTTTCACATGACAACACACTCTCTCACACCCTGTAAAACCGGCTGGACTGGAAATGTTAATGTTGGGGCCATCTGTTTAGGCCTACCTAGTCTTAGATAAGAGGTACCACAGAGAAACCTGTTGCCTCTGCCAGGCTATTGGTTCGTTCCTAGGCTACCTAGCAACTGTTTAAAGCAACACAATACCATAGTGTAACACTCTATAGTGTGTCCCATCAGGCTATCCTCCTGGACAAGCTTATCCTATTGAGGCCCAAGATAGAGCCAGTCAGCATACTACACCAATCCATCCACTTACTAAAAAAGCTAAATAATGTAGGCGATATCAGCATTAGACAGAGTTCTATTAGCAATCTTTAAAGAGAAAAGGAGTGATCTTAATCAAGTTTGATTCTCCCATGGAATTAAACACCCCAAACTTTGAAGGACATTGCATTAACTAATCTTTTACCTGTGTTCTGTTACATCACACAGTCCTTTGATATGATCTCAAAATGTTCCACAGAGGACACCTGTTCAATTCCGTATTGGTTCAACAACACCAGTGTGTACAGTGCCTTCAGAAAGTATTCAACTCACTTGACTTTTTCCACATTTTGTTGTGTTACAAAGTGGGATAAAAATTGATTTAATTTCTTTTTTATGTAAAAGATCTACACAAAATACTCTGTCAAAGTGGAAGAAAAATGTGAACATTTGTACAAAATAAAACAACTAATACAGTGGGGGAAAAAAGTATTTAGTCAGCCACCAATTGTGCAAGTTCTCCCACTTAAAAAGATGAGAGAGGCCTGTAATTTTCATTATAGGTACACGTCAACTATGATAGACAAATTGAGAAAAAAAAATCCAGAAAATCACATTGTAGGATTTTTTATGAATTTATTTGCAAATTATGGTGGAAAATAAGTATTTGGTCACCTACAAACAAGCTAGATTTCTGGCTCTCACAGACTTGTAACTTCTTCTTTAAGAGGCTCCTCTGTCCTCCACTCGTTACCTGTATTAATGGCACCTGTTTGAACTTGTTATCAGTATAAAAGACACCTGTCCACAACCTCAAACAGTCACACTCCAAACTCCACTATGGCCAAGACCAAAGAGCTGTCAAAGGACACCAGAAACAAAATTGTAGACCTGCACCAGGCTGGGAAGACTGAATCTGCAATAGGTAAGCAGCTTGGTTTGAAGAAATCAACTGTGGGAGCAATTATTAGGAAATGGAAGACATACAAGACCACTGATAATCTCCCTCGATCTGGGGCTCCACGCAAGATCTCACCCCGTGGGGTCAAAATGATCACAAGAACGGTGAGCAAAAATCCCAGAACCACACGGGGGGACCTACTGAATGACCTGCAGAGAGCTGGGACCAAAGTAACAAAGCCTACCATCAGTAACACACTACGCCGCCAGGGACTCAAATCCTGCAGTGCCAGACGTGTCCCCCTGCTTAAGCCAGTACATGTCCAGGCCCATCTGAAGTTTGCTAGAGTGCATTTGGATGATCCAGAAGAGGATTGGGAGAATGTCATATGGTCAGATGAAACCAAAATAGAACTTTTTGGTAAAAACTCAACTCGTCGTGTTTGGAGGACAAAGAATGCTGAGTTGCATCCAAAGAACACCATACCTACTGTGAAGCATGGGGGTGGAAACATCATGCTTTGGGGCTGTTTTTCTGCAAAGGGACCAGGACGACTGATCTGTGTAAAGGAAAGAATGAATGGGGCCATGTATCGTGAGATTTTGAGTGAAAACCTCCTTCCATCAGCAAGGGCATTGAAGATGAAACGTGGCTGGGTCTTTCAGCATGACAATGATCCCAAACACACCGCCCGGGCAACGAAGGAGTGGCTTCGTAAGAAGCATTTCAAGGTCCTGGAGTGGCCTAGCCAGTCTACAGATCTCAACCCCATAGAAAATCTTTGGAGGGAGTTGAAAGTCTGTGTTGCCCAGCGACAGCCCCAAAACATCACTGCTCTAGAGGAGATCTGCATGGAGGAATGGGCCAAAATACCAGCAACAGTGTGTGAAAACCTTGTGAAGACTTACAGAAAACGTTTGACCTGTGTCATTGGCAACAAAGGGTATATAACAAAGTATTGAGAAACTTTTGTTATTGACCAAATACTTATTTTCCACCATTATTTGCAAATAAATTCATTAAAAGTCCTACAATGTGATTTTCTGGATTTTCTTTTCTCATTTTCTCTGTCATAGTTGACGTGTACCTATGATGAAAATTACAGGCCTCTCTCATCTTTTTAAGTGGGAGAACATGCACAATTGGTGGCTGACTAAATACTTTTTTCCCCCACTGTATATCTTGATTAGAATTCAACCTCCTGAGTCAATACATGTTAGAATCACCTTTGACAGCAATTACAGCAGTGAGTCTTTCTGGGTAAGTCTCTAAGAGTTTTCCAGACCTGGATTGTGCATTATTCTTTTCAAAATTCTTCAAGCTCTGTCAAATTGGTTGTTGATCATTGCTAGACAACCATTTTCAGGTCTTGCCATAGTGTAGATTTTCTAGCAGATTTAAGACAAAACTGTAACTCGGCCACTCAGAAACATTCTCGGCCACTCTTTTGATTCAGTCTGCTTTCCACTTTTTGGTAAGCAACTCCAGTGTATATTTGTCCTTGTGTTTTAGGTTATTGTCCTGCTGAAATTGGAATTAATCTCCCTCTGTCTGGTGGAAAGCAGACTGAATCAGGTTTTCCTCTAGGATTTTGCCTGCGCTTAGCTCCATTCCGTTTCTTTTTTATCCTGAAAAACTCCCCAGTCCTTAATGATTCCAAGCATACCCATAACATGATGCAGCCACCACTATGCTTGAAAATATGGAGAGTGGTACTTAGTAATGTGTTGCATTGGATTTGCCCCAAACATAACACTTTGTATTCAAGACAAAAAGTGAATTGCTTTGCCACATTTTTTTGCAGTATTACTTTAGTGCCTTGTTGCAAACAGGATGCGTTTTGGAATATTTGTATTCTGTACTGGCTTCCTTCTTTTCACTCCGTTAATTAGGTTAGTATTGTGGAATAACTACAATGTTGATCTATCCTCAGTTTTCTCCTATCACAGCCATTAAACTCTGTAATTGTTTTAATAAAGTCTCCATTGGAATCATGGTGAAATCTCTAAGCAGTTTCCTTCCTCTCCGGCAACTGAGTTAGGAAGGATACCTGTATCTTTGTAGTGACTGGGTGTATTGATACCCCATCCAAAGTGTAATTAATAACTTCACCATGCTCAAAGGGGTATTCAATGTCAGCTTTTTTAAATTTTTTTTACCCATTTACAAATAGGTGGCCTTCTTTGCGAGGCATTGAAAACCTCCCTGGACTTTGTGGTTGAATTTTGTTTGAAAATCACTGCTTGACTGCGGGACCTTACAGATAATTGTATGTGTGGGGTACAGAGATGAGGTAGTCATTCAAAAATCATGTTAAACACTATTATTGCACAGAGTCCATGCAACTTATTATGTGACTTGTTAAGCCAATTTTTACTCCTGAAATAATTTAGGTTTGCCATAACTCAAGACATTTCAGCTTTAATTTTTAATTAGTTTGTAAAAATTTCAAAGAACATAATTCCACTTTGACATGATGGGGTATTGTGGGTAGGCCAGTGACAACAACACTCAATTTAAAAATGGTTTTATTCAGGCTGTAACACAACAGAATGTGGAAAAAGTCAAAGGGTGTGAATACTTTCTGAAGGCACTGTATACAGTGCATTCAGGAAAGTATTCAGACCCCTTTACTTTTTCCACAGTTTGTTATGTTACAGCCTTATTCAAAAATGGATGAAATTAGTTTTTTTCCTCATCAATCTACACACAATACCCCATAATGACAAAGTGAAAACAGGTTTTTAGAAATGTTTGCAAATGTATTAAAAACTTATTTACATAAGTATTCAGACCTTTTGATATGAGACTCAAAATTGAGCTCAGGTGCATTCTGTTTCCATTGATCATCCTTGAGATGTTTCTACAACTTGTGGTCCACCTGTGGTAAATTCAATTGATTGGACATTGTAGTATCTGAACAGTTTATAATTTTGGCTGACGTTTGCAAATGGTGTGTTAGATGAACTTTACTTTGCCTTTCTGAAACATCTGGAAAGCATTACTATAGGGGCCCCCTGAAACAGAGGAGACTTGGATATGTGGAATCCAGGGATTGGTCTATTCAAAACACCCATCTTATGTTACATACAGTGGGGAAAAAAAGTATTTAGTCATTTTACATTTACGTCATTTAGCAGACGCTCTTATCCAGACTTACAAATAGGTGCATTCACCTTATAGCCAGTGGGATAACCACTTTACAATGATTTTTTTTTTTTTTTTTTTTTTTCTTTTTTTGGGGGGGGGGGGTAGAAGGATTACTTTATCCTATCCCAGGTATTTCTTAAAGAGGTGGGGTTTCAAATGTCTCCGGAAGGTGGTGAGTGACTCCGCTGTCCTGGCGTCGTGAGGGAGCTTGTTCCACCATTGGGGTGCCAGAGCAGCGAACAGTTTTGACTGGGCTGAGCGGGAACTATGCTTCCGCAGAGTTAGGGGAGCCAGCAGGCCAGAGGTGGATGAACGCAGTGCCCTCGTTTGGGTGTAGGGACTGATCAGAGCCTGAAGGTACGGAGGTGCCGTTCCCCTCACAGCTCTGTAGGCAAGCACCATGGTCTTGTAGCAGATGCGAGCTTCAACTGGAAGCCAGTGGAGTGTGCGGAGGAGCGGGGTGACGTGAGAGAACTTGGGAAGGTTGAACACCAGACGGGCTGCGGCATTCTGGATGAGTTGTAGGGGTTTAATGGCACAGGCAGGGAGCCCAGCCAACAGCGAGTTGCAGTAATCCAGACGGGAGATGACAAGTGCCTGGATTAGGACCTGTGCCGCTTCCTGTGTAAGGCAGGGTCGTACTCTCCGAATGTTGTAGAGCATGAACCTACAGGATCGGGTCACCGCCTTGATGTTAGCGGAGAACGACAAGGTGTTGTCCAGGGTCACG